AATAATTTAATGAGAAACCAAAACAAAAATATTTCCTCAGAATGCAGTTATGAGGAGTTGAGACAGAGAGGCAACAGTACAAAATGTCACTCAGTGAGGCTAACCCACATGGGAAGGTTCCAGGTTTGCATACTGAGACCTCCCAGAGTTTGCTGGGCATGCATGTGCCCTTGACCAAGAGCTGGTTGACACTGGGGGTAGATGGTGGGGCCCTGCTGGGGGTACTGTATCTTTCTCTCAAGAAATAAACTTTTTTTTTTGAATTATTATTATTTTACACATTCGATTGCTATACATCATTTAGCTTGTAGAGGGAATTTACCCAACATGAAATATACCTTAGACCAGTCCAATTGAGAATACTACACATATGAGCAACAGGTAATAAGCCATTTCTGTGTCCCACAATTGTCTTCTCTATTTTTCTCCCTAATTACCTTCCCTTTTCTACCCTCTTTCCCCCTCTTTCCACACTGTCTCCAGTGTCCATAACTATTTTCAATGCTTTTATGCCCTTCAATCTTTCAATCTCTACCATAGAGTACTGACAGTCATTGTATGTTAACTGGAGACATACAATGTCTCTCTTTCATAGCCATAGCAAGGAGTTCACTTAGCAATAAATCTTCCATATCTGTCCACTTTCTATCAAATGCATATACATTTTTTTAAACGAGGTTGCAGGTCATGAGCCTCAAGACCACGTTCAGATTTGGGGACTTGGTAGGTTTTAGGGGGGCTGGGCATTAACCATTGTTGGGAGGACTCCCTGCAACCAAACTTACTAGGTTACTAGGCTCCAATGCTTGTTCATTCATGGTGGTTTCCTTCAAGGGTGGAGTGATTGAGTAATTTTTTGTAAACTATGTCAGGATCTTTAATGCAAAATAAGGAATGCAGATTCTATCCCACTGACTGGACTTCACTCATCATGAACACATGATAAATAGCCTGATGGTGGCAACACTGAGGAAGATGAAAATAGCAACAGCTATTGTCACATGGGGTTGACATAAATTCAGCTTATTACTAAGTACAAAGACTACTGGAAAACAGCAATTAATGGATTGTTGCTGCAGTTAGCAGCACGAACACCAGCATCATGCTCACTGCTTTATGCAGCTCAACTCACCTCCCACTTCACTTCACATTTCCTCTCAAAGTGTTTTCTAGATAGTAAATAGAGAGAGCACTTACAGACAGTGGTACAGGTGGGACCCACTTGGTACTTGGTGCCTGACAGGGAAGCCAGGGCTTTGGCCGCACGCCTCGCCACCTCATCCTGGGAAAGAGGCATCAGCAAGTGAGAATGAGTGGATCTCAATCATCCTCAGCTATTCTACACTGGGATGATTTGCAAAGTTCTCAGCCCCCTCCCCAATTTTTCCTTTCTTCTTTCCCATGCTACCAGAGCCAAGGCCTGACCACAAACCTAGGATAAAGCAAGCATCCTCCAGCTCCTTCTCCCAACACAACCCAGGGCTTTCCTTCCAGTTTGGGGTAGGAAGTAGAGACGGGAGCCAGAGGGACCTGATGAACAGTCTCGAGCATGTGTGTTATGCACACCACTTGGAAGAGTCCATCCAAGTGCTCCAAAGGTCTGGGGAGCTGCTCACCAACACTTCAGGAATCTGGCAAGGGCACTTTCATCTCACCTATCCTAAGGGAGGGGACATTCCTGTCATGGTCATGAGGAAAGGCCAAGCATGTTCAAGAGAAAACCCTTGAAGAACTGGATATTCTAGAGAAGAGGTGGAAATGGGCCACCATGTATGAGTGAGCCCTGCCTGGAACACCTAGTCCATACCTCCATGAGCCTAAGTGGGGCTAGCTGTGGCCCTGAGCAGGGGGTTGCACCCAAGCAGAAAGATACAGAGACAGCAAAGAGTCTATAGTCACCCCAAACTCACCAGTTCACCCTTAGCTGCTTGCCCATATTCTAGGGTGAGCCATTGGACTTGACATAGAGCATGTCTGTACTGGGGTCTACACCCGCCTTAACCTCCTCCTTAACCAGCGTGAGATGCACCGTGCCCTTGTGTACCACAGCACCACCCACAGTCCTGGGCAAGCTGTGGGTCCATGATACATTTCAGTCAGAAAAACAAATGAGAAGGAAGGACAGGAGTCAAGTGTTGTTCTTGGAACTCAAAGCAGACAGAGAAATAAGAAACATCGTCTTCTTGTCCCTAGTAGGTCTGATGGCACATCCCAAACGGCAGGAGAGAAGACTGGGCCCTTTATGACATATGTCCAGGTTTCTGGACTTTCCCTATAAAGCTGTAGAACCACTACCTTGGCAGTGCCTGAGGCTCAAGCTGACCCTGGGCAGCAGCACATCACTCACCAGCTCGGCGGCATCTGGGGCCTTCTTGACTGTGTACGCATAGGGATACATCAGCAGCTGAGAGTAGCTGTGCAGGTCAATGAAGCCTTTGAAATGCCCGTGCTCTTGAATGAAATCAACCACTGATTTTACCTCCACTTCTGAATTGGCGTGGGGTCCGTGGTATATTTCGGAGCAAGGGTTGTTGCTGGTTCCCTCTCCTGTTAAAGACAGCCCATGCAGAAACATTAACCCATAGGTCAAGAAAACAGAAATGCCCAAGGAGGGGGCTGAAGGTCTTGACAATGGCAGACCACAGCTAGATGCCCCCAGGGACCTAGTTCATGGTATGTGCTGGTTTCCAGCGGGAGGGTTGGAGTGTTGGATCTGCTACGGCTGAGAACAAAGATTGCAAGGACTCCTTTAATGGGGCAGAGATGACCTTGTATTGTACCAATGGTTTTGTCAAAAATAATTTCTATCATACTTGAGAATAAGTTGTAATTTATTAAGTACTCGGGGGCACCCGCAGAGGGCATGAGGCGTGTCTCTGTGCCCTTCGGCCCTGGCCTGGCTCCCAGCCCCAAGCTGCTCCTTTCCCCTGGCGAAGTGCCGGTTTCCAGGCGGCCCTTTCTCCTCCCCAGGCTGGGAGGCAAGTAAGCGCGCGTTGAATGTGCGGGCTAAGTGGGTGGACTGGAACCGGTCAGCCCGGGCCTGAGGGTTGCTGCAAAAGTGGAAGTTTGCTCTGCCTAAGCAAATAGATATTATCCTCTGTGAGCTCACTGCCACGTTCCTTTGCCTCCAAGGTACTTATCATATGGACTAATCCCGAGCACAGAAAAGCTAATAGAGTGCTGTAGTATGATCTCCCTGTAAGTGACCGAACCTCATGGCTGCATATCATGTCCTACCGGACACTGCTGCCCTGAGCAACTGTTCCCAGCAACTGGAGACCATGAAATCAGCCCAAATCAGTTCAAAGTGGACTTTAAATTAGGTGAAACTTCTTACCTGCCCTCTAGTTGAAATTGAGGAATCTATGATTTGATCTCGTAAGAGAGAAGTGGGGAATGAAGCAGGCGAGACTCCATCTTGGAGGAGCACCTCCATTATGAACTATTAAATTTCTATGACTAATAACTCAGGGCTGAAAGCTGTCAAGGGTTTCTGCCCTCGGACAAATTTATTGCCCCTCCCTGAAGTTACAGGGTAACCTGAAAACCTTGCGTGGATTAGTACCTTGAATAGATTAGTACCTTAAATAGATTAGTACTCTGAATAGATTAGTACCTTAAATAGATTAGTACTCTGAATAGATTGGTACCTTGAATAGATTAGACTTCTGCTTCTCTGACTCCTCCCTTTGACGCTGTGTAGGGTGGGATCTGAGCCCAGTCCTCACCCTGAGACCTCCCCTTCCCCAATACTCCCATAAAAGATCGTGAGGCGGGAGATTTTGACTGTTAACTACTCCGCACCTGCTGGCGTAATAAACAGTTTAAAAAAAATGATAAGTACTCTAGATAATAAATATGAATACCAATAAATAATGAAAGTTACTCCATTTATTTTGGGGTCAACTTACTCTCTTGACTGAGATCTTAATGGTCATGTGCTGCCAAAAATAATCTATTGTTGTGGCTAAAATCACTTCATTATTTGACAGATATCTAGAAATACTGCTCTCTGCATTCCATCATAATAGAGCTCCCTGGGGTCTATTTCCGATGGGGAGATGCTTTCTCATATTCTCTCTTTCTCTTTCTGTCCGTCTCTGTGCTCACCCACCCTTTGGCAAATAAAAACAGCACCAAGACCTAGGAAGTGTCAGGGCCAGCAGGTGGTGTGGTGGTTAAAGCACTGGACACTCCCACATGGCCGACCATGGTTCAAGTCCATGGCTTGTATTTAAAAAAAGATAAAAGAAAAAAAAAAAAAGACCTAGGAAGTGTCAGGGATGTGCTTACATCCCTCCATGACTCAGTCATGGACACAGAGTGGAAAATGGTGCCCTCCCTGCCAGCTCAGAGCAGGGGGATCAAGCTCAGCCAGTGTTTATAAGATTTTAAAACTGCCATCTCCACCTACCTGCAAAATTAGCATCCCAATTTCTATTCGGATCTGTGCCAAAGCAGCGGCTTCCAGGATTTAGAGACCGTGTCTTCCTCCACAACCGGTTCTGAAAAAGCCACCAAGTAAGAACAAAGATTCAGAGGCAGGTCAGGGTGCCGAAGAGGCAAAGGTTGTCTTGGGGCCTGAGAAGGAAATGAGCAGGATGGACAGGCCGGCTGCCGTGGTTCTACCTAGAAGCCTTCTGGTCGTCACTGACCAAGTGACTCCGCTCATCTCCAACGAGAGGATTTGCCCTTCTGGCTCTAAGAAAGGGACTCCTAAAAATGCCCTGATGAGAACTACACGTGCAGAACATGTCACCTGCTGGCCCCAGCCCAGTGTGCTTTTCTTTCTCTTTCTTTTCTTCTTCTCTCTATTTCTTTTTTTTTTTTTTTTTTTTTTTTTGGGGGTTTTTTTTCGCTACAGGGTGCATGCGCTTGCCAGAGACACACACAGACAGAGACAGAAGGTGAGAAATCATCCCCCGAGGGGATGGCCATGCCACAATTCCTTGTCCTCTCTTCTCCTCTCAGGATTTTGGGTATGCACGCACACACACCCAGTGTGTTCTAAGCAGCCAGGGCCAGGACCTGAACCTTAGTCAACTACCTGGGACTCCAGTGATATAATCATTACTGGTCATCTGCTGGTTCCCCGCCACCCCCCAGTGTGTTTTTTGCCATCATGTCCAGGATTCGAATTGTACAGTTGGTCATGTGGGATCCAGCTGTCTTAACCTCCATACCATCTGTTGGCTCAGGTAATGAGTTCTTTGTTATGCGATTTATTTTTTATTACTTTTTTAAAAGCATATTTATTTATTAAGAGAGAGAGAGGCATCCTCAACAGGATTCACATGCCACAAGCCTCCCTCCAGCCCTGCAGGTAGCCAGGATTATGGGTACTTCCTTGGGCAGGGATGTGTTGAGGCAGACTCAGGCCTCAAACTTTGGAACCTTCTCACATGTGTTGCATTGAGCATTACACAGCAGTATTCCTCCTGCCTGTGGTATTGCAGCTGGGCCATGCCATGCGATTTCATTTGTTCCCTAGCCCCTGTATTATGAGGGTGTCAGTGCTAGAGCTTCATTGGATTCAGATGGATTTTTTAGCTGAGAATAAAATGGGTATTGTGCATTTCCTGTTGTCCTGGTGGTCTTTGAATCATGTGATGCCCATTTGGCCCATTCGTTAAGGCTCTGGATCCCACAAGGTCAACTGCAATTCAAGTCATGGACCTGGCAACTTGAAAATCACACCTGGCACCTGTACATGTGTGCCCAAAATTCTGAGAGGGGAATGGAGAAGTGACTGCACCCTGAGGGGTGATTTCTCACTTTCCCTCTCTCTGTCTGAGCACATGTGCACTGTGGCAAAAACTGAGAGAGAGAGAGAGAGAAAGGGAGAGAGGGAGGGAGAGAGGGAGGGAGGGAGGAAGGAAGGAAGGAAGGAAGGAAGGAAGGAAGGAAGGAAGGAAGGAAGGAAGGGAGAAAAACCACACTGGGTGCATACACACGCATGCCCAAAATGCTGAGGGGAGCATGGAGAAGGGATTGCAGTGTGGCCATACCCTCCAGTGAGGTGCTTTCTCACTTTCTCTCTTTTTCCCCCCAGCCCCCTTCTCTGGGGAGTACAAATGCACTATAGCAAACTAAAAAAGAGAGAGAGAAGAAAAGCCACTACCCAGATTTAGAATGTGAGACATCTCATAGGACAAATCACTTGGTTCTGCCTTTAAATGAATCATCTTTTTAAAAGGGAGATGGGTGCTATTGCAGAAGAGCAGAGACTGCAGAGATGCAGCAACCACGTGCAGCAGCATACAGAACTTGCTGGAGCCTGACCTGAGCACACTGACTGTTCAAAGACATTTTTTTAGGACAAGGGGATGTTAGAATATTTTAAAAACATATGTTAATTTTTTTTTTTGTAGAGGTTTTTGCCATAGGGCGCGTGCGCTCGCCAGACAGAGAGAGACAGAGAGACAGAAAGCGAGAAATCACCCCCCAGGGGGAATGGCCACGCCGCAATCCCTTCTCCTCCATTCTCCTCTTGGGATCTTGGGCACGCACGCACACGCATCCGGCATGAGTTTTAAGCCACCATGTCCGGGACATGAACCGCAGTCAACTACATGGGAGTCCAGCAACATAGCCATTACACTAACTGCTGGTCCAGTAGAACATACATTAATTTTTTAAAGGTGCTAGTGGTGTAGTGTAGTGGTTGTGTTTTGGTTTGGGTTTATTTCGGTTTTTTGTTTCTTTGTTATCAGCTAGAGATGAAGACTAAAGTAGTTTTGGGTGAAATAACATGCTATCTGGGATTTGCTTTAAAATACAGCAGGAAAAGAATGTGCGAGAGAGAAAGAAATAAAACAAAGATTGCTAAAACTATGATTGTCCAAGAACCCATAAGAAGGTCATTAGAATATTCTTTCTACGAAAAAAACATTCCCTGGTGATCCTCAGCTCTGAGAATAACTAGAAAATAAAATCCCGAGGAAGCTCATAACATGCACATTTGAGGAATATCTTGCCAATGCCAGGCGGTTATTGGCAAAACCAGGAGGTCAATAAACAAGCCTTAACTCCAAGTGCAACCCATTCGGGACTACTCACGTGCGTTTGTGTGTACACATATCCATCAGGGTTAGCCACAGGCAACAAGAAAATATCCATTTTCTGCAAGATGGACGTGAGGGCTGGATCCTTCTGGTAATCAGTTACAATCTAAGCAGAGAAAGGAGCACATCAACTCTACCATGGCAGGCTGGGTGACTCGGTCCAAGTCCCGAATCTCTCCGAGCTGGCCAGCACACACCTGGAACCGGAGCATCCACCCTCTGAAGCCTCCCTGCCACCCTCACAGGCAATCGGCAAAGCCTCTTAGTAATTCAAAGGCTGGAAACACGTGGCTCTATGGCTCCATGACAACATCAAGTCCTGGGGTACCCTCTTTATTCCTTTCGGAATAGGGGAGCCACATAACTATATTTAGGACTTGGAGCCCCCAGGGAAGAGGTAGGGAAGATGTATTCTCCACATTCGCCACGTCTCTCCTCCCAGCGCTGGCTTAAAACACATTTTCCAGAGGTAGATGGAGACAGCAAGTCCCAGGGCGGCCTGGGGCCCGGAAGGAACTGAGGGCCAAGTTCACCTGAGTTTTGCTCTGCAGGCAGACTGTGGCGCAGCCTCGGACCCACCTCTGCTACTCGTTAGCTTGCTCACCTCCATAAACACCCTTTGGCATTTAGCCACCATGGGCAGACCAAGGGGCTCTAACCATTTGCTTCTCTAGTGCAGAGCACCTTCCCACCTCGTCCCTTGGGGCCCAGCACATGGGACACTGCAGGGGCACCCCAGGCCTGCCAGAAGTCTGGGCTAATACCAGGCGACATGACCTTCCTCGCAGTCCAGATGGCGGTGGCCTGAGAGATCCACTCGCGGGAATGGATGCCTGCATTCAGCCAAATGGCCGGCCGCTGCTTGCCTCCTCCGGTGCTGAACTGCAGAAAGGAAAAGAGGCCAGAAAATGACCCGCTTGCCTGCCTCCCTATTCACCTCTTCTCTCCCCAGCTTGCTCCTATTCATTTAATTCATTTAAGATAATTCAAAGACCAAATGATCCTGAGGGCACCATCTATTTATCGGGCTTATCCGTGACCGGGGAGCTTAATTGGTTGGCTGCGGGGCCAAGCTGCAGCTCCGGGCAGCTCCGGGCAGCCTGAAACTCTGCAGTACTCGGAGCAAATGGGAAGGGGAAACAATTGTTATTGTGGCTTATAATGCCGGTGTGATTAGAGATAATATTATGTCTCTTGAAAGACCTCAAATGATGCCCCAACAGAGACACAAGGGTGCACGAACCAGGCTGTTCCAGTTGATGCGATAAATGAATTCGGTTTTAAATGAGGGAGAGGGAGGGTTTGCTACAGCTCTTTGTAAATGGCAGTAATGAATTCTGGCTCCTGCCTTTGCCATAGTGTTGGACCCCTTGGGTCAGAGCTTGGCACTAATGAAGATGGGGTCTCTATCAGATTGGCAAATAATCTAAATGTAATTATGTTAGAGCATCCAGCTCAGCAGCAGGTCTCCCCTCTCATTGGTAATGTGCCCGTTGCTATAAATCTGGGTTCTTGGGGGCTTATATGAAGCTAAGGGTTTGGAAAACTCTCAGCACAGTCCGTGGTTGTTCGTGGTTTCATGGTTTCTACCCCCCACTTCTTTTTTCCTTGTTTGGCAGGATGGTTTATGTCGTTTACTTCGTTGTCACTGCTCTCCATCTCCTTTGCCAATATAGACCTGAATCTGTTAGGAAGATCTGGAAGGCAGGCTCTGTGCAGCCAAGGATCAGAACTGGGCTTAAAATCACATCCATCCTAACAACACCCCCCCACCCCAGGGTTCTTCCTACTTAAGTACCCCTAAAAGCAGAATAAATGCATAGGCCTAGCCCTACCTGTCTCGGCATTTATGGAAGGTGGGAATGAAAGCAGGGCTGTTGCCCATCTGAGAGCTTTCTGGAATACTCACCACCTCCTCTCTGATCCTTTTCTTCAGTCAAAACCTGAACAAGGATGTGCTCCTTCGAACTCGCCCATATTAGACAAAAGTAGGGTAGGCTGTCTGCCATCCTCGCTCCCCTCCCGGAAGTCAGGAGTCAAGGAGACCAAACAACTATCTCCTTTAGAAGTCCCGAGGCTGAGTCCTGGACACAGGAGCCTGAGTCCAGTTAGGGTCCATCAAAGGGCCTGGGGTCTCACCTTCAGGACATACATCGTCCGGTTTTCAAACGAATGCCCAATCTTCACCCTGCTTGCCAGGTCAGGGAAGTCTGCAGCAATACTGTCCATCTCATGGTAGATCTGGAGTGTGAAAAGGTGAATCCGATAGTGTTTGAAAATTTTTTTCAGAGGCCAGCAGGCGGCATGACGGGTAAGGTGCTGAATCGTACATGGCTGACTCTGAGGCTCGAGTCCTGGATCTGGTGGCCTGAAAAAACATGCCAATGCACATGCATGCCCAAAATCCCAAGACGGGGATGGAGGAGAAGGGACTGCAGTGTGGTTATTCCCCCTTGGGGTGATTTCTCACTTTCTCTGGTAAGTGCACGCACCCTATGGCAAAAAACCTTAAAAAAAAAAAAGAAAAAAAGTTCAGGTCTTGGTGACCTTTATCTTAGTGTGCTTAATGATTGTTTCTGAGCCCCTAACCTTGGGGTGACCATATTATTGGCAAAGAGTGCTTATTACATGGCACTGCCTCAAGAGTTATTTTCAACAGTATTCCAGAGAATAACATTCGTTATTCAGAGAATAACACATTCTATTTATCCATGAAATTGTAGTCCACCACTGTACGTGTGTGTGTGCATGTGTGTGTATGTGTGTGTGTGTCTCATGGAAGAAATAAATGTGAAGGAAGGAGGAAAGAAGGAAAAGGCAAGCCAGGTAGGGGTGCAGCAGTTTTTTTTTTCCCACATGGGGGGAGTTTAAAAATGAAAAAGGACAAACTATAAGTTCGAGAAGGGGGAACTACCAGGGTGGAGGGCAGGAGATGGAGTCACACTCGTGTAGCCATCTCAGGTGTGGAGGGATCAGAGCAAATCAGGAACGGGAACAGAAGCGCAAAGGACCCAGCAGGGGCCAAGGAGCTGGAACTCGAGAGCTGGGAACTGGAAATTCTGCCCCAGAGAGGGCCTGGAAGCTCAACCAACTGACCCTCAAGAGTGCAGGAAAGTAGGATGTCTGCCATGAGCCCCACCCAGGGGATGACAGAACACCACGCTGTGCACAGGCGGAGGGTCCAGATTCACCACTACAACATGCACACAGCGTCAGGAGCCAGAAGCCCTGGTAGAGACCACCGTGGTATCCCCAGCAGAGAGCTAAGAAAGCCCGAGGGGTCAAAAGATAGGAGCATTTAAGAACTGTTTCTTTGTTTTTGTTTTGCCAGTGATTGTGTGCACTTGCCAGAGAGAGACAGAGGGACAAGTGGAGAGGAGAAATTAGCCCCCTGGGGAACGGTTATACTGAAATTCCTTCTCCATTTTTCCATCATGTTGGGGTTTGGGACATACACATTGCCAGGTCCAGGACACAAACTGTGTGGTCAGCGCCATGTGGGATCGGGTCCTGTAACCCACAGGCCACGGCTCACCCTGAGAGCTGTTTCATGAAAGAACTAAATGTGATCAAGCTAGAAGGCAGATGGCATACAATCCATGGCAAAAGGCCTTCTAGAAGCAAAGGGAGATCTGTGAAGCAGATTGCAAAGGGCATGCACCTAACATCATGGAAACCAGAAACAGAAGGGTGAGAAAGTGAGGCTCCAGCAGCTAGCAGGTGAGGGACTGGCCCCACTGGAGTCTTGGATGACATTTGCAACTGATTAGCTCAGGGAGGAGGGCTCCATGTTAATGAGACTAGCTTCATGGGTTTGATCCCTGAGTGGGCCCTGAGCTCTGTTTTCATCCATGGCCCGAGAATGAACTCTTAACTTTATCCAGCTGTTTTGCAGATGTATGTCACCGGTCAGAAGAGGGATCAAGGGGCCATGGGGTTGGAATTACACACAATAAACAACGCTTCCAACAATCAGGAATCAGGGGAAAGAAATGGAAACAGTCGGTCAACCTTCAAAATAATCCTTCATGTAAAAGAAAAGCATCTCAAAATTCAGTGTACCCCTCACAAAAAGCCTGGAAGAATGCCACGCTGGTGTATCAAGAGCAGCAGGTGTTGACATAGATGAGGGAGAATACCTATTTAGATTTGGTGTGTCTTCCTAAGCTAGTAGAAAGTTTGCAGATTAATTTAGAGGGTGCTGGAGAGAGCATGAGAGAACCGTACTGTGCACGGCATAACACGGTTCCATTCCATATCCCTCTCGATTTCTCAGGTTCCAATATCACGTGACATTATTCTGCTCCAAGTTTTTCATTTGAAGGTTTGGCTTACCTTGAAAGTCAGTCATCTATATAAAGTGGTTTCTAACTAAACACAGCACCAAAATGCATTATAGAACAAATACACATTATAAGTAGTCATGATAAATGAGTGGAAATGTTTGGTTAACCTTGGAAATAACCACTTGTCTACTTGCCTGAAATAAGTAACATTTTATTCAGGATGAATAACATAGAGGGATTATGGTGGGGCAGAAGAAGGTTGAATTACAAGGCCTGGAAATGACTGCAATTATTTCATAGTTTTCTTTAAGGGGTGTCTTAAGAAGGATGTGTGTGGAGGAAAATGTGGAGTCTGTATTTCCCTGTGCTCTTAGGTGCTGATGGGAGTTAAAAAGCCCAAGAATTAGAAAGGACTTAAAGTATGCACATTCCAAAACCTTTTGGAAGTAAGGAGAGGTGGGACAAAATTCAAAGAACCTTAACCTGCCCCAGAAACACTTACAGCCTCCAGAGAATGGTAGGCGCCATAGTTGAAGTTATTACTGCTCCGTTCTTGCCCTTCATTGTGTTGCATTTCTTCATCTTCATTATCTAGAAGGGCCTAAAAAAACAGACACAGTGGGTCTGCAGATAGCATGGTGGTTAAGGGTGTTGGACTACTGTAGTTCAAGTCCTGGACCTAGCAGCTTGCTTTCTCACTCTCTCTCTCTCGCTCTCTCTCTCACTCTCGCTCTCGCTCTCGCTCTGTCCCTCTCTGGTCAAATTTTAAAAAAAAAAAAAAAAGTTAAAGTTTAAAAAAAAAAAAAAAAAACAGACACAGCAACAGAATGAAATGTGATCCAATGGAGACAGAGGTTTGTACCATATCTTGGTACGTGGGCTGGCCAAGATGGTGGCACCCTCATTATACTGATAGCACCAGTGTCAATGCTTAAAAGGTGGTCCAGGGGCCAGCATATAATGGTTAAGGCACTGGACTCCCATGTGGCCAACCATGGTTCACATCCAGGACCTGGCGGCTTAAACCTCACACAGGGCATGTGTGCATGCGTGCCCCAAATCCCAAGAGGAAAATGGAGGAGAAGGGATTACAGCATGGCTATGCGCCCTGGGGGTGATTTCTCACTTTCTTGCTCTGTCTCTCACTGTCTCTCCAGCGAGCACACATGCCCTCTAGCCAAAACCTCTCCTTAAAAAAATTTTTTAAATAACAAAAGGGAGTCAGATTTTGTAAAATTTTACTTCTTGGTACCAAATTTACATCACCCCATTCAAAATCCTCTTACTCCCTGGAAGCAACATATGTGCGCTTTGGTTATTCTGTACTACGAATTCTCTAGACATCAACGTGCATCTGGTATCCAGTGTCTCTGAAATACACAGCTTGGGAAACCATTCGGAAACAAAGACATTCTTATAACCACTCATACTTTGAAGGTTCCTGGCAGATGTCTGTGACATGTGAGGATGATTAATAAGCTCACAGCTGCTCACGCCATCAAGAAATTCCCAGGCCAAATCACCAATTAGTCCATAACCCATCTCGGTGAAGGAGAGAACATGAGCCAGACACTGTCCTGCTGTTCAGATACAGGTTGTGTGACTGGATGGGGATGTTTCTTCTGCTGGGGACTGTTGGTGACATTTCCCCTTTCTCAAAGGGTACTCCTTATGACTGGTCTCCAACATGGCCTTCCCAACTCTACTCTTGCCTTCGGACTTCAAATAAGAAAACCTAATACTCAATGGGACATCTGAGATCTACCAAGCATGTTAAGACAGCTCACATACATTTTTTTTAATTTATTTATTTTTGGAGAGATTTTTGCTATAGGGCGCATGCATTCCCCAGAAAGACAGAGAGGCAGAAAGTGAGAAATCATCCTCCAGGGGGACAGCCATGCTGCAATCCCTTCTTCTCCATTTTCCTTTCGGGATCTTGGGCACATACGCACATGCACCCAGCGTGAATTTAAGCCACGGGTCCAGGACTCAAAGCGTGGTTGACTATGTGGGAGTCCAGCGACATAGCCATTACACCAACTGCTGGTCCCCATACATTTAATCACTGAGCCTTCTCACTATAGTAGCAATACTACCATTTTACTGATGAAGAAATGGAGGATTGAGAGGCTAATGGATAGTTCAAAGACACAGCACTCATAGTTAGCAGAATGGTTAGCTCTGTATGTTCTCTTCCTACTTCAACACGTTGTTCCTCTAACATGGCATTGCCCTTTACTTCCATCTGCCTCAATTTTTTTCATCTGTGAAATGGAAAAGCATAAGACCAGAACTTGACAATCTCTCAGATCCACACTGGACGGGCTGCTTGGTCCTGTTCAAGACCAATGAAGGGTCATGGCATGCTCACCTGTATATCTTCAATTGTCACTGAGTATTCTAAGCCATGAGATGTCAGGAAAGCCTTGACTGGCAGCAGACTAACAGATGGAACCAGGACATCCACAGGCCGGTTGAAGGTGGTGGGAGATTTCCAGACATTGAGCTAAAGGGAACAGTAATTAAAGTAGGTCAAAGGACAGTTCAGGTAAAAGACACAATGAGCTCATTCTTCTAGAACCACTGCCAAAAGACAGGGTGATTCCCCCAAGGGATTGGGTTCTGCCCAAAGGCACACTTTGCCCATTTTACAATTTTATTTGGTCAGGTTTGCCCACCAAGCAGTACCTGATCAAGTCCAGGAAGTAATAAGTCAATGGCACCTAGAAAAATGGAGCCCACTACTCAGGCTTCCCAGCTCCCAAGACAGCTTTGCTGGGATCTACAGCTGCTTCTCCTCTGTCGACTCTCTTGACTATATAATGGAGGATGAACAACCCAGGACCACACACAGAACATTTTCAGTAATAAAAATAAAAATGCCAGCAGTGCCAGAGTCTTCCCACGAAGTTAGAAGATACCTAAGACCAAGAACCAGGTACCTTGAAGCTGTCCGAATTCACAAGCTGCCTCAGTTTGCTGACTTCGTCTCCATTCCTGACATTAATCCTAAAAACTTGGTCCCTGAAGAAGGGGGGGAAAAAAAGCAAAAGATAATGGTGAGCTTTCAGCTGGCAAATGAAACCCAAGCCTCCTATCCCAGACGCACTGGCCAAATGAGAGGAAACGGTCTAGTCTGGTTATAATGTATAGCCATTAAAAATAAGACTATGTGGCAAATATGAAAAAGCGCTTATAGTATAACTTGAAGGGAAATATTAAGTGAAAGAGCAGGACACAAAATTGTATGTATGCCATGATTACAAGTATGGAAAAAGCAGATGCATTGGAAGAAAAACAGACAACGGAAATATACCAAACGCTGACAGTGCTTATGTTCGGGTCGTGGGATTATGGATGACTTACTTTTTTTCCCCCTTGTATCTGTTTTCTGTAACGTGGTCATATTACTTTATAATGAAAAACATATATATTTTACAGGAAGGAACGCAAAGTTAACTCAAGACATGAAGAAGCACTTCTTCACTGTCAGGACTGAGAACTGGGACTCAGTGGAACGTTCACCCTGAGAAGAGCTGGGAAAGAGAATGAACCCTGAGTCCTGGTGGGGCAAGCTGTTGTCCCTTATTAAAGAGGGGAGAGGGTGCAAGCTCTCTCAGTCCCTTCCAGTTCCAGAACCCTCGACAAATGCACATTACGATGGAAACTGAAGATGCCCCAGGGTGCAGAGGCTGAACTTGGGATTCACTCCTCCCCGGGGGCTGAGAGGGCCCAGAAGGGCACCCTCTCCGGCCTCGGCGCCTTCGTTTTTTGTCCCACACTTGCTTCCTATACATTATTTAGTGTCTGCAGCAGCCGTGGGGCTTGAGGCCCCTGAAGTCCTATGTGTGGGTGGGAGAAGGCTGGCCTGAAAAGCCGCCTTTGTGCTCAGTCGGCTCAGGGAGCCAGGGGAGCCATTAGGCCGTTGCTAGGTGACTGCCCAAATGAATCTGCACTCCATGCTGTCACATGCGTCATCCTTTGACACGAGTGAATGCGGGAAGAGCTGCTGGAGAGGGCTGTGGGCTGAAGGACCTGTTGACAGAGTAAATGGCTCTGTCACAGGGAGCTAAATGTGCAGCCTCACGTGGTAGCTCCTCATCAGAAAACTGGTTCCATCCGGTCAGACCCTCAGGGTTTTGCTTGGTTCTGGAAGGTTCTGGGGACCCTCCAAGGGGCCTGGGCTACCCTCAAGGAGTATCTTGCTACAGGTGGCTAGCCAGGAAGAGACAATACCCAATCCACTATGTCCCTGTAGGGTCTTAGAGTGAGGGACTAACTGCATTTGGCCAGGGCTCCTCCCACATAGTCAACCACTGTTCAAGTCCTGGACCTGGTGACTTAAACCTCAAGCTGAGCACGTGTACGTGTATGCACAAGATCCCAAGAGGAGAATGGAGAAAGGATTTCAGTATGGCCATCCCCCCGGGCATGAGTTCTCACCTTCTGTCTCTCTGTCTCCTGGCAAGCGCACAGGACCTATAGCAAAAATCTCCCCCGCCCCTCTCTTTTGGAGAGGTTTTCACTATAGAGTGCGTATGTTCACCAGAAAGACAGAGAGAGACAGAGAGAGAAAGTGAGAAATTACCCGCCAGGGTGGACATGGCCATGCTGCAATCCCTTCTCCTCCATTCTCCTCTCAGGACCTTGGGAACGCATGCACAAGCACCCAGCATGAGTTTAAGCCACTGGGTCCGGGACTCAAACCACAGTCAACTACATGGGAGTCCAGTGACATAGTCATTATGCCAACTGCTGGTCCCGCAAAAATCTCTCTTAGAAAAAGAAAAATCTTGGGCTGACCCCACAGCCTAGTGGTTATAGGGAGCAGATACCACATCACTGACAGCAGTTCAAAAGTGGCTTCAGAAATACACCGAACACCTGTGCAGGCAAGTTCAAAACCTTTACAAGATGGAGAAATGGAGGCAAAAGGATTGAAGCATGACCAGGCCCCACTAGGGGGTGATTTCTCTCTCCCTCTTACTTCCTCTCTCTCCCTCTCTTGTTCGCTCTCTCTGGTGAGTGCATACACCCACTGGCAATTTAAAAAAGAAAAAAAGGAAGCTCTTTACAATATGAAAATTATCTTGAACGTTCACATGGCATGTGCATTTTGCTCTTTCTGAAGTGGTGACTTCACAATAGCACTTCCATATTCCAGGCACAGTAGACAACAGTGGAGCACAGTGACTCTGACTGGCCCTACGGGTGACTCAGTCATAGCCAGTGCATCATGCTCTCATCAGCCAAGTTACAGAGGCTAAGGAAACTTCTGTAGGGAGCAGAAGGCAGAGCAGGGTACTGGGCGTGAAATGGAGCTCATCCCCACCTGTCTCTCCACCACTCTCTCCACTCCAACCTCACTGAAATCCCAAACTCACCATGGACTTTACCCTTGGGTGGCTTGGCACATGCTGTTTCCTCTGCCTGCTGCCCCAATCCTCTTATCTCCCAACTTGTATGTAGGAGCAACTCATATAACCACTGAAGTTTTCCTACTCAGAGGAGACCAAGTTAGGTACAGTCTTCAGATGGTGCTAAAAACTGGCAGTGGTGGTAGGGTCTAATACTGTACTTATGAACATAAGCATATGAGTATCCAAAAGCAGAGGGGGCATACATGGGTTGCCATGTGTAGGGCAGTCTTCTTCCTGCCCTCATTGTCCTTGTCTCTATTTGAAAAATGCAATTGCTAGGTCATAACAGTGTAGATGGTTTAACATGTCCTTTTTCACTATTTGGAAACTCATTCAACGACCTTGTGCTCTTTCTGAAGATAGAAGATTGGCTGGGAAGGAAGCCATGTTGGGATCTGCAGGTTGCCATGCCCACCCCTCCTGTTCCACATGGGTGCTCTTTCAGTTCTTTTTCTTTTTCTTTTTTGGAGAGGTTTTTACTATAGGGCGTGTACGCTCGCCAGAAAGAGAGAGACAGAGAGACAGAAAGCGAGAAATCACCTCACATGTTGAATGGCCACGCCACAATCCCTTCTCCATTCTCCTCTTGGGATCTTGGGCACGCATGCACATGCGTCCAGCATAAGTTTAAGCCACTGGGTCTGGGACTTGAACGGTGGTCGACTACATGGGAGTCCAGCGACATAGCCATTATGCCAACTGCCGGTCCCCCCTTTTTCTTTTTCTTAAAGTTTACGTATTTCTTCTATGACAAGAGATGGAGAGACAGAGAAAGGGAGATAGGTACCCCCAACAGAGACTTATAACACCCCAGCCTCAGCCAGCCAAGATCATGGGCAGAAGGAGACCTCAGGACAAGAACCCAAGACCTTCCCATGTGACCTCACCATCACAGAATGTCACATTACCCCTGTGCCACCACAACTGACTCTTACTGCTCTTCTTAATTTGCCCTCTTTAGTACCCAGGGACATCTAGCTGCCACCCATCAAGAATTGATTTCCCCCTCACTCATCTGCACAGCTGCCCCATGGTCTGGACAGTCAATAACCGCCTTTGCAAATGAACTGCCATCCTTCTCCTCTTAGTATATGGACAGCTGTGTGGCCAGCTCTTCGTGCTTTTCTCACCTGCATCCCCAATCTGGCATCACAGCCACCATGAACAGCTACCAAGAGATGGGTTCATGGAATTCTTAAGATGCCTGCCAGCTAATGCCACAACCAGTTCTGCCACCACTTCCTGTTCCCTGCCTGCCCCACACCCCCAGGTCCTCTGGCCGTCATCCCATCCTTAAGATGACTGAACACCAGGGCAAAGGACACCAGCAGAGCAAGAGTGACTAGGGAGGTAGGTGAGCTTGGTGGAAGGAAAGGAGACTTGGTGGCAGGGGGAGACCATCATCCTCGTCTCCATCACAGTCTGTGTCCTACCTTCCTGGCCACTTGGCTGCTTAGAGACCAGCTTCCCCTTGCTTTAAGCATTGGCTGAGCTGAAATTTGGGACCTGTCCATGGACCCCCGGGGGGGATTCCACCATATTTTCTGGGTTCCCTGCTGTGGGGTGAGAACAGATTTGGGACAGTGAAGGCAGCACTCCTGGTGAAAACCATCTGCGATCAGCGCAAGCACACAGCCCCCTCTGGGCAGCCTGGCCAGCTGTCTCCACGCAGATACCCACCACATTGTCAGACAGGTCCGTACCCCGAAAAATAGAGATGGTTCAGCCACAGGAATAGCTGCAGTGGGAGCCTGACAGCTCCATGCGTCAGCCCACACGGCAGCCAGTGTGGTTATTACACACCTACTGCTGAGCTGCCTGTAAAAAAATCTCCTTCCTGGTCACCTGCTACACCTAACCCCTTGGAGCTATTTGGCAGTAGAGACACAGGTGTGAACAGAAGTCATCACCATAAAAATGACTCAATCTCATATATGTAATTACCTCAATAAATAACCCCAAAGTCCCTTTAGCCAGATAGTATAATAGAGAGTAAACTTCTATAGATAAAGATAAAGCCAAGAGATAGAGGATTTTATTTGGAGATTAACTTGTGTTACACCAACAGAGTATAGGTTTTGCATTCAGAGTTCCAGCTCCCCTGCTTACCAGCTAAGTGGCCTTGGGCGGGTTCCTTAACCTTTCTAAGACTGAGATTTTTTTTTCATGTTTAAATTGAGGAAAATAACACCCCTGCCTGACAGAGCTGTTTCGTGATCCAGAAGATAATGTATGTGAAAGCTCTCTGCAAATGGCAAAGCATTATGCGGTAATGAGTTATTCTCACTCAATCTTCCAGCAGCTCACCATGGCATCCCTTTCATCTCTCCTACCTCCTAAATGTCCTCTCCTTTGCAAGCCTCAGAGCATTCTGTGTGGAACGGGCTGAGCATCTGCCTGTGTGCACAGTGTACAGGTGTGTGTGTTCCTGCGTGTCAGTTTTCATAGCTGTGACTAGGCAAGACCTATTAAATCGCCATATTCCAGAAGCTGATGAAAGACACCAGCTCTGCAAAGCCTTCACCGTTAACAGACAAGTAAAAGCAAAAAAGCTGAGACCCAGCTTTTCTTTTCCTGTAAGCATGGCAGAAATTAGAAACAAACAGTTTCTGGTCATTCTTAGTAACAAAACACGTAGGAGTGAGAAAGTAAGTGATGGCTGGAACTGACCTTTTACATGAAAGCTGGATGAGAAAGAATTGGCAGGAGATGAGGGAGCTGGGGAGAGACTGTGGAAACCATCTAGTCCTGATTCCACAGAAGAGACTGGGTCTCAGAAAGACATTTCTTGCCTCCGATGACACTGGTACAAAGCTGGACAAGAGCCCATGCTTTCTCGCCCAGTGTCCTACCACTGAGGCATAAGCAGCCATTTTGGCTCCCATACTTCTGAAATTACCAAATAATAATAAGCGCAAAAAGGACTTACCCGAAAAACTTTTCTCGGCCACAGATACTGGACCCAATCAGGGCCCCAAAGAACAGTATCCACCTCATGTCTCTGGGTGTCAGTCACACAGTGGCTGAGTCAAGTTGTATTTATAAGGAGCTGAGGTAGACTCACTCCTCACACATGCAAACATGATTCCCAAGCACCTTTGCAACTCTGACGGTACTATAGGTGGCCATGACCGATGCCTCTGCCATTCCTTTCCAGTGATAAAGGCCAAGACTCTGGATTTACAAGGTCAGGAACTCGCTCCACAGGCTGGAAAAGTCTGCCAAGGGTGCCATATTGCTCATCCTCTGGCATTCAAATGGTGTTTTGCTTTTTTGGTTTTTTGGTTTTGTTTTGTTATGAGTCTATAGAAAAGTCCCACAGAGCTGGATGGAATTTATACTGGTAGGAAAGGTCAGAGTGTAAACCCGGGATAGAGTCACCTCTGAAGGAATAAAAAAGTGAAGACTACCAGTGCAACTCCAAGCCAGCTCTTGAGACCACACTCTTGGCAAGCCCTGTCAGAAAATTGCAGAAGAGCAGGTTAGAATGAGCAGTTTATGGCCTCTTGTATGGATCTGAGGCTTCGTTCTTAAGACTCTGGTAACAAACTAGAAACTGATGAGGTGAGTGGCACTGGAAGGATGTGTTAGTCTCACTACATGATTTGTTTTTCTTGGGGCTGATCCACAGGTAAGGCTTAATGGTATCATCAATAATAAAATTGTCTGGGGCCAGCAGATGATATAATGATTGTATCATTGGACTCCCATGTAGTTGATCATGGTTCGAGTCCTAGACCCGGCGTCTTGAAACTCACCGTGCGCATGTGTGTGCATGCCCAGAATCCCAAGAGGATAATGGAAAAGGGATTGCAGCATGGCTATCCTCTGGGTGGGTAGGGGGTGGGGAGATTTCTTGCTTTCTGTCTCTCTGTCGCTCTCTGTCTCTCTGTCTTCGGCAAGCACACATGCTCTATAGCAAAAATCTCTCTAAAAACAAAAAGAATAATAAGATTTTCTTACATTTGCTAGACTCTGAGTCCAATTGTCCTTTCCACCAAGTCACAGAAGAACAAATGGATGACACTCGTGATCTTCTGACTTCTGCAGGGTCTAGCCATGGAGCCCCAATGCCCACAAGCCTTCCCTGACCCATCGTCTCCATTTCTTTGGGGTCCTGCCCAAGGGGAGTGGAGACAACCAAGAGTCATGGTTTGGAGTATTAAAGAAAATTATCCTGGGAACCAGCAGTTAGCATAATGGCTATGTCGCTGGACTCCCACGTAGTCGACTGTGGTTCACGTCCCAGACCCAGTGGCTTAAAACCCACGCCGGGCGCGTGTGCGTGCATGCCCAAGATCCCGAGAGGAGAATGGAGGAGAAGGGATTGCGGCGTGGCCATCCCCTCTGGGGGTGATTTCTCGCTTTCTATCTCTCTGTCTCTCTCTGTCTGGCGAGCGCACGCGCCCTATAGTAAAAAACCTCTCAAAAAAAAAAAAAAAAAAAGAAAAAGTAAAAGAAAATTATCCTGACACTTGCTAAAATGGTAAGGAAGGCTTCGTTCAGGATTATTGCAAAAGGAGGTTATGATTATTACAGGAGGAGAGAGAAATTGTGCTCAATTCCAAATATATCAGACAGCAGAGTAAAAGTCAGAGGGATGGAAAATTACTAAGTGGAGATATCGAGGTTAAGGGGATTCTTGCTAAAAACAGGCCAAGGATTTATACGTCAAATGTGGGAGACCAGCAGGTGGTGTGGTGGTTAAGGTGCTGGACACTCCCACATGGTCAACCACGATTTGAGTCCCAGACCTGATGGCTTGCTTTCTCACTTTCCTTCTCTCTCTCTCTCTCTCTGTGTCTTTCTCTGTCAAATTAAAAAATAAACGAATGAATAAATAAATTTTAAAGAGAGAGAGAGAGAAAGTGGGAAAGGAGGAACTTGATCAGAAAACAGGTGAGGGGATGACTTAGGAGACATTTGCTGAGACCGCTTAGACAAGGCCAAGAACCAGCCTCATCAAAAAGAAGGTAAAGAGTCTAAAGTTCACAGTCCAGGGTGAGGCAGTGGCAGTGATGACACAACGGGACTAATTGGGAAAAGTCCTAGGTTTGTACTTCCTTGAACGCACCAGGTACACATGCACATGCCTTTGATCAGGACTAGCTGAGACTGGGGGTGGACTGTGGCATGAAGACCCTGTTGACAGAGCCTGCCTCTCTGTCCATTTTTCCTCTCTTCTCTCTCTCTCAGAAAAAAAAGAAATCAGTAAACTTTATTTTAAAAATTGTTTTTTAAATAAAATATGGTCTAGAAGAGGGTCTTGGTCTTAGGTCTTCCTACTCCCTCAAGTCTCTTTTGTCCTCTCAACACGTACACTGAGTTTTTATAACCATCCTACAAAGGCTGGGCTCCACTTTTTCCAGATAGATCTCGTCTTTGGAGTTAGTAACAGGAGACATGGAGACATGAGTCTACAAGATACTAAAGTGAAAGAATTCTAGGCAAGCTGAAAATTACTTCCCACTATTTTCTGCCAGAGAAAATCATCAACATGAGGAAAATCTAAATCCTTAACAAAGTGAATGTCTACAGAAAAATGGTGTGGAAGTTGAGACCTAGAATTGAAGGAGCAAACAGGAAGGAGGAATGCTGTTGGTTTAGATCCCCACAGGTTTCTGTAGTGTGACATATACAAAATGGAAAAGCAAGGGACGGAGCCATGACCCAGCAATAAAAAACGATGCTCTGTGAGGCAGACCCACATGTGAAGATTCCAGGATTGCATCTGGAGACCTCCCTACGTATACCAGGTATGATCCAGGCTGGCCAAAGTTGGGGTGGACTGCAACAAGACCCTGTCAGTGTGGTATCTCTCTGTCACTCTCTTATGGATGAAATAAATCAACAGAAAGAAAGAAAGAAACCAAAGAAGGGAGGGGAAATGAAAAATGGAGGGCCAGCCAGTGGCGGGGTAGCTGGATCTCACTTTGCTGCATGGTTCAAGTCCTGGACACAGTGGCTTGGGAGATATATAGAGCACTGTGTGCATGCTGTGCCCAAAACCCCAAGAGGAGACAGAGAAGGGATTGCAGTGAGCGCTCCCCACAGAGGGTGGTTTCTAACTCTCTCTCTCTCTGTCTCTCCCCGCCTCTCTCCAGCAAGTACACATGTCCACAGGAAATTTTTTTAAAAGAAGAAGGAGGAGACAAAGAAGAAAGAAATGGAAATGCCAAAGCAACAATGGAGTCAGAGGATCTAACACTGAACACAATGCCTGGCACATTGCAGTTGCTAAATCAGTATTTATTGAATAAATGACCTCAGAGCTCATTGCTGGCTCTCAAATGCTGCACTATGAAGAGGGACTGAAACATACTGCAACATGGATGGACCTTGGAAACCTTATGCTGAGTAAATTAAGCCAGACACAAAAGGACAAATACTGTATTGTTACCAGGGAGACTCAACTCATGGAGGTCTTCAGCTGGGATGGGAGGGTCTTTGGCTTCATGCAGGTAAGAATTCAAGAGTGAGCCTTCCAGAAAGAGTGACAGCAAATTTATTAAGGAAAGTGTACGGAGCAGAATACTCAGGTGGAACAGCCACATGAGAGGAGATGGGTGAATACTCTTATTCCCTCCTCAGGAGAATAAACAGGACAAGGTGCTGCTGCCCGCTGCTTCCCTGGATGTAAGCCTCTAGAGGATGGGGAGCACCATTACCCAGAAGGAAAATCACAAAGACTACCCCATAGGCAGGGCAGCCCTGAATTTCACTGGGTGTCTGGCTAATATGGCTTGGCTTAATGCCATGCTAGGAAAGGGGCAATTTATTAATGACTTTTCTGGGAAAGGGGAGTGGTTTTCCTCCGACCACTGTTCCTTTCATTTTCTGACCTTATTAAGGTAGTTCCAGTCATTGTCATAGTTGCTATAAACTGTCACAGCTCAGATAGGAATGTCATTTAGCATGCTAAGGTACTGCAATGCCTTAGCAGAGGTCATTCCAAGTGCCATCTTGATTCCAATTGGTTCAGATCCAGTCTCTCAGTGACCTTCTGTTGCCTCCGGTTTTGTTATAGGCATTGCAATGTCTTTCACCTCAGTCCCACCTTTTCTCAGTATGATTCCATTTACATGAGGCTTTAGAGTAGTCAAATTCATAGACATCCACACTAGAATAGCACCATTAGGGGCCGAAGAAGAGGAGGATGGGGAGTTATTGTTTAATGGGTGCACTGTTTCAGTCTGGCGTGTTAGAAAAAATCTGGAGCCAGACGGTGGTGAGGGTGGTATGACATTGTGAAAGTACTTAATGCCACTGAACTGTCCACTTAAAATGATCATAACGGTGAATTTGGTATATTTATGTGATAGATGTGTATATTGATATGTAAATGTATATATACTATATGTATATATGTACATGTACATATTTTTATATGGACACATATGTGATAAATGTAGAGCTTATCACAATAAAAAATTTTTAAAGGATGTTGGGAGCTTTTTGCTCAGAATGAATTAAAAAAAAAAAAAAAACATGAAGTGAACAGTGCAGTGCCTCACTGTGTTTTAGGGGAGCAGAAACGGAAGAAATCGTGTTCCCAGATTGGGATTAGAAAAAGAAATAATCCAAACCCAACTTTGCTTCCAATCAAGAGATTTTTAATGGTGTTCGTTTATCCCCAGAACCCTAGTAGGGATGGTCTCGCACATGCTCCATGATTGTCTTCAGGCCAAGCCAGGTCTCCTCAGCTGTGGGCAGGATCTGATTGGCCGGCAGGAGGAAGCCATAGCGACCTGTGTCTCTTAGCTCAAAGGCAAATGAGTATTTAATACCAAAATCATAGGCCCAGTCGATGCTTCCTCCACTGGCTTGGTCTGAAGGGCAAATGAGAAGAAAGTCTTATTATACTATCATTCCCACTGGCCTCTCACAGCAATATAACTTCTCTATTAAGTTTCACTGTTATCAAAGATAAGTCCCCTGTGTGGACTGTGAGAGCAGGGATCACTCAGCAAAGGATCACACTTAGGAAAAAAATACAAGGATAATCTAAAAAGCAAAAGGTGTTATTCAAGGGCTAACCTCATAGTGCAGTGGTTAAGCTATGGGCATTGTGAGCCAGATTTCACATGGTCTACCATGGCTTGAATCCTGGCCTTGGCTTCTTGAAAAACATGCAGGTTGCTTGTGCATGTGTGCCCAAAATCTTAACAGGATGGAGAAATAGAGGAAGGACTGCAGAATGACCATGCCCCACTGGGAGTGGGGGTGGCTCTCTCACTCTAGAGCACATAGACAGTCTAGAAAAACAAAACAAAACCATAGGTGTTATTAAAATGGACGCTATATTCAGCCTTCCTCTAGCGTGCCTGGGAACCCCAGGCTTTACCTCTGTATTATAGAATGACCTCTGCCTCATTTGGAATCCTGCCTGGACTTAATTAGCATCTTCTACACCTTACGGAAGCCACACCCACACTGCTTCCTTCTTTAGAAGATACAGACATTGTTTTCTCTAGTGGGAGAAGAGGGATTACAAACAGAGTCAAAGATTTGGTCCCTGCCCTCTAGGGACTTTTAGTACAAGGGTGGCACAGCTCTGCCCCGTAGCAAACAGCTTGCCCTGCACCTGTGCATAATAGGTTTAGCCCATACAGTGCTGTGCACCTGAGAGAGGTGTGGCTGGGATCTGACACATGATCAAGGGAGAGGGCATGCACTATGAAGACTCAAGGCAGTCATGAATCAGAAATGCTGACCGATGGACTGGCCCTGAGACCACTCCCACAGAGGGCAAGTAGAGGTCAAGTGGAGGTCATGGCTGGGGCAGACATGAAAGATGCCTCCTGGTTCCTTAGAGCAGGGCTGGAAAGACCAGGAAGGTCATACCAGGGAAGAAGAGGAGTAGAGGTTAATGTAACAAGTTAATATTGTGAACTCCCGTAACTATGCCTTGGCTCCATCCAGTGCAGCTATGGTAGCCTGGTAAACAACACATACTATATGATTGCTGATTTGAATCGAATCTTCCCTGGGTGCCAAAATTACCAATGTATAGCTGTGATGTGGCTTCACAACACAACCCATCCCACTAAGATGTCCATAGTAGTAGACGGAATAATAGCTCAGATTGAATCCTGACCCTGCAAATCATTAGCTGGTTGACCTAAGGCAAATCACTTACCTAAGTCCCAGACGCTTTCTCTGTCAAATAATAGGGATGCTATTACTTACTTCATAAGGCAGTGAAAATTAAGCAAGATCATACCAAAGTTATGATTACAATTTTCGAGGGGTTAAGCACTATGTTAAATTGGTTCCTTGAATCCCTTCCTTGGTGACAAGGTAGGTTACTAGTATTATCCTCACTTTATAAATGAGGAAACAGATTAAGGGAGTTTAAATGAAGTATCTAGAATAATGTATGTAGAATGGACACTCAATAAATATCAATTATAACTATCATTAATGAAGTTAAAGATCAGCGATATCTGGGGAACAGTTCATCAGGAAACTAACTTTATATAGTTACGTAGCTTTATAGTTAGTGAAAACTCTCATTGCATTCTTAAGCCTTCCACTCTTGAGCCTCTCAGTAACAGTTCACAGATGAAGAAACCAATGGAAGATGAATGACCAGTCCAAGGTTACTTGGTTCCAAAGTGGCAGAGCAGGGACCAGCAGATAGCAGAACGGTTACGTTGCCGGACTCCCATATAGTCGACTGCAGTTCAAGTCTCAGACCTAGCAGCTTAAAACTCATGCCAGACATGTGTGTGTGTAGGTGTGTGTGCCCAAGGTCCCAAGAAGAGAATGGAGGAGAAGGGACTGCAACATGGTCATCCCCCCTGGGGGGTGATTTCTCACTTTCTATGTCTCTGTCTCTCCAGCAAGCACACATGCCCTATAGCAAAAATCTCTCCCCCCAAAATTAGATTCCTTGCAATAAAATGGTCAAGATCCACAGAGGAGTCTCAGGAGCATAACATGCCATTCTGAATTCTAGCCACCACTCAAAGGCTGCCAAGCAAAGGCACACAGTCCTCAGTCTTAAGGTATCACCAAGGTCTCAAGCAGCAATACTTAGCAAAAGTTTAAACAATCCATATAATGGAATAACAAATATCTGAATACACAGGAGATGATGATAACTTTAAACACAAAATACAACAGACATTGATCACAATTAGATTAATGTATTTGTGTTCTTGACAAAGATTATTAATGAAATTGAAAATGATAACAAAACATGATGAATATGTATTCTTTTTCCCATAAAAAGTTTTAAAGGCATCATAAATTGCAAAAAAAAAATTTAGGCAATCATCTGGGAAAAAATTAATTTTCACAATCTGTAATATCATCAGATAGTTTTTGCATTTCCATGAAGTGTTCTGGATATGGTGAATAAATTATTACTCTTATGTACTCCAAGGCTTCCAGTAGAACATCACAGCTAGCTAGTGTGCATTTCCAGACTCCCACCACCACTCTCCTAGGGCTGGACCTATATCCATGTGGACAGCACATTGAAGATAAGTTCCTCTTGTTCAAACCCAGTGAACAGCCTCTGCCTGCCTCTGCTTGTCCCCTTCTGACCTCACTCTGGAACCATATTGCATGTCTTCTCTCCTGTACCTTGTACCTCTCCCTCTCTGTGGGTTCTTTCTCCACAGTCAACAAATATCTTCTATCTCAAAAATAAAAACAAAAATTTTTCAAAGCCCTTCCATTCCTCTCTCTCCTTTCCTCTCATCCACTTTTCTTAAGTTGCTCTGGGGTTAAGGTCAACAATACACTAGTGATGAAAACTCGACAGGAAAATCCAGTAGTCCATAAGGGACTGTGCCTCTGAGGGATTTGGAATCGGTGCAAGGTCGCACTAGGGTTTCCCACAACAGTAGTTTCTTCTTTAACTGCAGTCTGCTAGGGGAGAGGGTCTCAGAAAGTCTGAGAGTAGGCTCCCCAGACTCACTCCTGCCTTCTCCTCCCTCTTGCCTCCTCATACTTGTCATGGACAAATAGCGGCAACTGAAGTAATCCATGTAATACAGGGTCACACCAATTCTGTCTCCACGGGGTCCATGAGATTCCTCAGGGCATAAGCCCTTCTCAGCCAGGAAAGAGATCATGAAAAGAGTATGAGGTAGGACCAGGTCTTGATAAAGGCCTTTTTTTTAAAAATGAGGTTTTTGTTATAGGGAGTGTTTACTGGAGAGACAGAAAGAGACAGAGAGACAGAAAGCAAGAAATCACACACACCCCCCCAGGGGGAATGGCCACACCCCATCCCTTCTCCTCCACTCTCCTCTCGAGAGGTTGGGCATGCACCCCATGTACCCAGTGTGAGTTTTAAGCCACTAGGTCCAAGACTGGAACCACAGTCAACTATGTTGTTGGAGTCCAGCGACATAACCATTACACCATCTGCTGGTCCCAATCAAGGCCCATTTTTAGGCAGAGATTCCTCATAATGACAGTAATCTCTAAGGATCTGTACAAGCACAGGAGAAAACACAAAACTAATACTTAGTAAGTTCTTTGTTCTTAAGATCACAGAATAAGTATTTTACGAAGGAGACTTACTGAGGGAAATTGAGTAAGGGTGGGCTCCATGCATAAAGGTCTATTCCTTTCACAAGAAGGCACTGAAAAGCTCTGGCCTAGGGCTAGTCCCATAGCCTAGCAGTGAAGAGATCCAGATCCCACATGGCTGATGATGCTTTGAATCCCAGCCCTGGAGACTTTAAAAACACACTAGGTAGGGCCAGCAGGTGGCATGGTAGTTAAGGCAGTGGACTCCAACATGGTCAACTACAGTTCAAGTCCCAAACCCAGCAGCTTGAAAATCACACTAGGCACATGTGAGTGGATGCCTAGAATCCTAGGAGGAAAATGGAGGAGAAGGGATTGTGGCATGGCCATCCTACCTAGGGGGTGATTTTTTGCTTTCCCTCTCTCTGTCTCTCTCTAGCAAGCACATGAACCCTATGGCAATAAATAAATAAATTGCTAGGCACAAGTGCATGCATGCCCCAAATTCCAACAGGAAAAATGGAGGAGAAGGGATTGTGGTGTGAACACACCCATGGGATGGTACTTTCTTCCTGTCTCTCAGATAAGCACACACACTCTGGCAATTTAAAAAATAATAAAATAGGGGACCAGCAGTTGGTGTAATGGCTATGTTACTGGACTCCCATGTAGTCAATCATGGTTTGAGTCCCAGATTCAGTGGCTTAAACTCACATCGTGCATACATGCATGTGTGCCCGAGATCCTGAGAGGAGAATGGAGGGGAAAGGATTGCAGCGTGGCCATCCCCCCAGAGGGTGATTTCTCACTTTCTGTCTCTCTGTCTCTCTCTGTCTTTCTGGCGAGCACCCCCAGCTCTGGCAAAAACCTCTCCAAAATAATAATAATAAGAAGAAGAAGAAGAAGATAGTAAAGGAAATAAACAGATGGTCCATTAGATGATGCCTGTCTTCTTAGTGGGTCATTTATAAAAACTTCCAGCACATTACATACTTACAGATGACTGAGCAGATCGGTCCCACTTTGTACTGGGTGCCATGCAGGCTTGCCACCGACTTGGCAGCCTTTTGGGCCACTTCATTCTAGAATGAGAGAACCAAAGAAAGATGGTCAGATTATACTTGTCTCTTAGGAGAATGGATGCCTAATAGCAGAATGTACAATGAGAAGGTTTGTTAACCATATTCTTTGATGTTTTTGAGATGGAAGCACCAAGTTCACTTCCATCAGCTTTGAAAATACAACATGTAGGGGCCGGCAGGTGGTGTGGTGGTTAAGAGCGCTGGATTCCCACATGGCCCACCATGGTTTGAGTCCCGGACCTGGAGGCTTGTTTTCTCACTTTCCCTTTCTCTCTCTGTCTCTCTCTGGTCAAAAATTTAAAAATGATAATAACAACAAATGGAATTAAATAAATAAATAAAAAGAAAATACAACATGTAGAACCTCCAGTGCTCATTTTGCCACCAGCTCTCCTTATTCAGGAGAGTGGATGGAAACAGTAGGTATAAAGAGGGATAAAGAGAATGCGTACTGACTCTAGGATGTACCCAGCAAGTTAATTTTTTTTTAACTAGAACATTGATATATTTCCCAATGACTATCTCTCTTTCCAAGAAGCAGAGCTCAGCAAAATCCTTTCCGTTATCCGAGGGTTCCAAGTTTGACTGACTGAGGCTTTACTGTCCTTGCTAGGGATAAATGTAAGGTCTTGAACTTGGGTCCAGGAAAACAACCGTACAATTACCAGATGCAGGAAGCCTGGCTCAGCAGAATCCTCAGAGAGCCTAGGGGTTTCAGCTGTCAATGAGCCCAAAGTGAGTCAGCGACATGATGCTACTGCCAAAAAACGAACGCGACCCTCCACTGCATTAGCAGAGGTACGTGATCTGGACGAGGGCAGCTACGGTCACGCTCTGCTCCGTGCTGGTTAATCCCCAACACAAGCGTTACATTCACTTCTGCAAACTATGCTTGAAGAACACAAATGAACCAAAGCATGTTCAGGAAACAGCCACCAGAACGGTGAGGGAACTTCAGCCCAAGCGAATGAAGGAACGGGGGTTATTTAGGAAGAATAAGGAAAAGATCTAGAGCAGCAGTTTACTGTCTTCAAGTGATAAGTGAATTCCCGTATTGAAGGACGATAAACTTGCTCAATAGAGTAAGATGATGAACCAGGGCTCGTAGGTGAAAGTCATATGGAAAAGGGTTTGGCTGTCTATAAGGAAGAGCTCTTAATAATCAAAACAGCCCCAACATGGAATAGGCTCCCTTAGAGGCAGGAAGCTCTCCAATCATAGGCTGATGGCTCTCTGGTCAAGATTTGAGCATGAGTTTTGGATCATTTGAGCTACTGGAAGTAAGTACTCTTTAGGTTCCTCCCAGCCCTGACATTCCTATTCCCTGATTTGATTCTGAATGGTAATATTCACCATCAAAATCCTGAAAACTGCCCTGTAGGACAAAAATCCAACTGATAAGGTGAAAGATCCACATGAATTGAAATAATCTAATCCATTTATGCTTGGAGCCACTAACGATCTATTTGAAAACAAAGTGACCAAAAGGTCCCAATTCAGAGCATATCCCTAATGTATGTGTTTTCAAAACTAAGCCTAAAAGCCAACTGGAAATACTCCACATTCTCTTCAGCTGGGGATAGCTCTTGCTCAGCTGTGAACAGTCTCTAAGCTGTGCCCATCTGGCCTAAGGCTGCCTCCAGTTTGCTTACTTAATCAGGAATAATGATAGAAAGTATCAAGTTAGAGAAATTAGCTTTTTAACCCCAATGTCACATCCCCCCCGCCCCTATCCCCGCATCCTCACAGCAGCTCTTAGAGCCAAAGGGCCCAGAAAGTATCAGGTGAGTTGCTAGGAAGCAGCCCTGCTTAGCACAGAGCGTTAGACCTTCGAAACAAGGGCCTCGGCTCCAAATACAAGTGGCTTATTTTTCCCCCTAAACAATGGAAAGCATATCCTTGGAATTTACAGTCAGATCAGTCCCCTGCTCATCTGGATTAAGGTAACCATCATTTCATAAATTCTATTTCCAAGGAAACTGAATTTAGGAACATTCGTGACCAATCTTTCAAACCTTTGGCCTATCACAGTCTTCTTAGTGGCTGGACTTATGGCTCATTCGTCCTGGTAATCTGTCACTAGCATACCTCTGCCTCAGAGCCTATCTTTATAACTGAAACTTATTGGTCCACACAATAGATGTTGAGCTGAGATCAAGCTTCACAGACTCACCAGCTCATCGAAGTTATCTGGCTTGCTACACGTGTACCCATAGGGGAACATCAGCAGCTGGGAATAGCTGTGGATGGTAATGAAGGCTTTGACTTTTCCATGACTCTTGATGAAGTCCACAATGGATTTCACTTCAACTTCAGAGTTGGCACTGGGTCCATGGTATGAATCAGAGCAAGGTTGCTTACTGGCTCCGGGTCCTGATGGGATGCAGAAGAACCCCAGTGAGGATCATGAGCATTAAGAAGTCACTGTATGGAGAAGGGCACCTCTAAGTTCCTCCTTTGGAAGTCAAGGCAAGGTTGTCATTTGCGTTAGATTGAATCTCTTCCTAAGAGCATGGTCTGGAAGTCTAACTGAAGTGAGTCTGGACATATCTCTTTACTAACAAATATGGTTCCTTCAGGCCAGCAGATGGCATAGAGGTTAAGGTGGCTGGATCCCACGTGGCCAATGGCCAACTGTGAAGTTTGAGCCCTGAACCCAGAGGCTTAAGGAGACACTGGGTGCATGTACCTGCATACACAAAATCCCAAGAGGAGAATGGAGGTGAAGGGATGGCAGTATGGCCATATCCTGGAGGATCATTTCTCTCTCTCTCTCTCTCTCTCTCTCTCTGTTTCTCTCTGGGATCGTATAGCAAAACAACAACAAAACAAAAATACATTTAGAAGAAATATATATATATGGTTCCTCTAGATGGTAGAAAGAGCTATCAAATTAGAACATTTTTTTCTCTGTGGGAGTTGTTGGAAGAAAAGCTAGATTTAATATTATAGATGAAATTCCCACCTTGGGTGGGAGTTTAGCAAGTTCCTTTTCTGGGATGTCTTCCAATTCTTAAAGTCCAAACACAGAAGATTATATGCATCTGTACTCCCAACTCATAAAGCCACAAATGCAAGGAACCTCTGACACCCTTTCTGTAGTGGAGAAATCACAGCTATATTTGACAACAAGGCCGCCTTTGCCCTTGATGCTCTCTGCAACTACAGTTGCTCAAGACCACTGGAATGGGTCCTCTATAGGCCTGGCCAGGACACTGAGGGCGCTCTAACCTCTGAGGGCATGGGCAGGAGTAGGGGTTGCCCTCGAAGTGATATAGACAAAAGTATAAACACCACTTCTGGCACTTCACTTTTAAATAATTTAGTAATAATCACATTATTATTATTTCAGGAAGAAATTTGGCACTGAATTGCTGCATATTATTCAATATGTTGGGGTCTGGTGCTTTCATTCTTTTTCTCTGCACTAAAGAGAAAAAAAAAGTGAAAGCAAGGAATGAAGTCGCTACTCTTCCATAACCTATCGCAGTTCCCCAGTGCGTCTTGTCTCGGTTCCCTAGCTCTCATTAATTCGTCTGTTTGACAAATATTTAGTAATTGCCTTCTATGCTGCAAGCACTGTGCGCGAGCTGTCAGGAATACTACAGTGAAAGACACTGCTCTTAATCTCACTGTTACTGTAGCCTTGTGAGGGAAAACCAGGCGAATTTCAATTCTATGATTAGTGAAACATCATAGAATAAGGGTTTTAACTGGTACCTAGAAGCATAAAGGAGCCCTCCCAACTAGCCTGCTACTAAACTCCAAATAAAACAAGCTGCAAGTCAAGCAGACCAGAGAGACAAACTAACATTGATCTGTGAATCTCTTTTGAAATCCATTTATTAATCCTATTTGTACTTTTTTCGGTTTCTTTCTCGAACCATCTATAGATGATGTAATGCTTCTCCTCTGAATAGATCCTAACCCCCTCTAGTGGTTGGTTCAGGGCTTCCCGAGGCCTCCCGCCATTGTGCAAAGTCTTGCTCCAGCAGCACAAAGCCAGCACAGGCCACAGCTTGTGGAAAAACCAAGATGTGAGACGAAATACATTAAACGCTGCTCAGAGCTCTGTGACAGCACCAGGCGCCTAGGAGGGGAATTTAGTTAAGTGTTTTTCAAATAGGTTTTTAAATGGCTTGAATCCTAAATAGGCTTAGCAGGCTGACGCACTGCACTGCAGAGCCACGCAAACCAGCCGGTTGGCTGACACGATTTGACCATCCCTCGGGGCAAATACCTATGCTCACCTCCAAAACCAGCGTCCCAGTTCCTGTTAGGATCAACACCCACACAGAGGCTTCCAGATACCTTGGACCGGGTCTTCCGCCACATACGATTCTTTAAAAATCCAACCCAGAAAGAAATGGAACAAAGGAAGATGGTCATAACAAAAAGGTCCCTTTAGAAATCTGTTCATTCCCCTTGCTCCCTCCAGGAAGGCCCCTTTGAAGTTGCACTCATTTTCCTGGCCTGAGAGGTGTCAGATCATCCTCCCGGCTTCTGCTTGGTGTTTCTCTGCCATCTCACTGGGGTGAGAAGTGACTATTCCACCACATCCTCAGATGAGCGTCGGCCAAGCCATATCCCACAGAACTCCGGTTCTGTTCCATGCTTGCCACAACAACAAAAAGTGGGAGACAGAAAGGGTTCTGTGCTAGAGTATTTTTGGGGAAAACATGTAGCTAAATCAGTACATGTATTTCAGAACTTCAAAAGATTTTAAAACCTCTCAAAAAAAAAAGATTTTTATTGCTTTAATGCTTTTTATGAACCTCTAAGAAGGGGATCTAGTGGGTGGTATTTCCTAGACTTGAATGGGGGACTCTTTATCATATGGTATCTCATGGGATGAATAGTATTAGTGTGAGTATGAGTTTCTTTGAAGAACGCATCTATAGTCAGCTCTCTCCAAAAATACACTTGAAGCCTTGATTCATCTCAAATAAACATGGGGTCACGGTTGCCACAATGGTGTCGCGTAATGAGATTTTTAAAGGAAAAAAAAAAACTGCATAACTCCTTTTCGTGATATTACACAGGATTTCGCCTACAGATTGTAAGCGAAATACTAGATGCATTGTACCGCCTACCTAAATCCTACTGCAATCTAATTGTCAGCAGGTAACATCCACCTCCTTTCTTCTATCAATCCTACCACGGAAATGCAGAGATAATTGGAACAAATCTCCTAGGTGAGCGCGGAGCTCTAATAGCCCAGCCTACCAGCTGAAATGGGCTCTGGCCGCGGCCACATGGAAAGACACCGTGTGCTGGAATGAGAAGCGATTATAAACACTTCTCTATGCCTCATTTCAGGGCCACTACTGAGAGATTAGGATTCCGTGTAGAGGAAATCAAGAACAGAAAGATTATTTTTGCCTTTGAAGTTCCTGCACATCTCGTTAGGTCCTTGTTAAGGAAGAGAAAAAGCCCAGGCTTACTTTCGTTTGCGAGAACACATATCCATCAGGGTTTGTGACTGGCAGGAGGAATATCTCCATGGTGTCACGAGCAGGAATATATCCATGGTGTCCAGAAGGGAGGTGATGGATGGATCCTTTCCATAATCAGAGGCAATCTGAACAGAGACACATACATATCAACTTCATACTCCCCTCGTGGCAGAGAACAGGGCACAGAATAGAAAGGAAATGTATTTTTTTCCCAGTGTGAATGAGGGGTCACTGTTGGTCTATGAGAATCTTCTAGATATTGTCGTTCGGTCTCCTGCAGTGCTAATGTACTTAACATACCAATGTCCATACTTTCATGTCTGGTCAGAATACTTTACTCATAGTATACAAAAATCAGCTACCACATAACCATTCTATCTCAAAAACACAAGTATTCTTCTTATTAGTTCTGGGAAGGCATTTTGCAGTGATGGACAATGGTATACAAGGCTCATGCAGATTTCTGAACCAAAAAAAATTTTTTTTTCTTTTTTTATAGTAGTCCTTAATCCCCACATGGGTTAGCTTTCCAAACTCACAACCAACTTAAGTATGTGGCGACTCTGCTAAAGATACAGAGAACCAGTTAAAATCCATTTGAGGAATTACATGTTTACTTGCAATCCATGGCAGTGGAGTTGAAGGTTCTGCTGGATTAAAATTTATTCATTTCCTGTGCTCAGCCATCCTAAGGCATTATTATTCAACTGTTAAATATCCATTTCACAATACCCTAAAGGTAACCGCATTTTAATTGAAGGGAAAAATGTATCAGTCGGTATGCACGTGGTTGCACATGCCTGAATGATCTGATGGGGATTGATTTCCTTTGCTCATGAATTAACATTCTGATTTATAGCATGTCATTTTTGAATTACTTAAGAAATACCAGACTGGGTCACACCCAGCCCCATGTCCTGACTCCAGTGCCAACGAGCATGTGTGGAAGAGGTATTGCTCCACTCTGACTTTAAAATCCGATTTGGGAAGTTTTCAGAACCCAAACACCCTTAGCTAATCCACTTTGGAATTGTAGGTCAAAGTAAGCTCCGCTGGCACCTGTTCATCTTTTCCGTCCCACCTTGCAATTTTATAGATTTCTAGCACATCCTGGCTCAGACCTGAGTTTCAAACAGCAAAGTGATTTTTCTCTAGTCTGTTCTTAGGCTGAACTTTGACTCCCAACTACTTTCACAAGATCTTCCAAGCCCCCTCTGTCTTTCAACTGACCACAGAGTGACCAGCCCAGAAGGAGTTGCGGAAGTGCTGGATGGGGCAATAGCAAAAAGGGCTGGATGGATTTATTTCCTGTCTGTGTGCCAAGAAAAGGGCTTGGGTTCAGAATGCCACTTGCAGGACCACAGGGACTGTCATGTGCTTAGGTGGGCCTGACTCCAGAAAGGAAAAATAGGCAAGGAATTTTAGGCAAAACGACCTTGTTTGCTGTCCACAGTGCAGTAGCTTGCGTAACCCACTCTCGAGCATGGATCCCGGCGTCTAGCCAGATGGCCGGCTTGTCTCCTCCAGTGCTGAACTGCCCGAAACAAGTACAGCAATGTGAATGACTCACATGTGAATGGCCCACAGCGTGGGCCCCTGCTGTCCACAGTGCAGTAGCTTGCGTAACCCACTCTCGAGCATGGATCCCGGCGTCTAGCCAGATGGCCGGCTTGTCTCCTCCAGTGCTGAACTGCCCGAAACAAGTACAGCAATGTGAATGACTCACAATGTGAATGACTCCACGCTGTGGGCCCCTCCTAGCCCACCCCTGCATCCTTCTCTGTCCCCCTTTGTTCTTAGTGTGATTGAGAAAGGGAGAGATGCACATAGTAACACTGTCAATTAACTCTTCTCATTTAAGGTGTATTTTCTTTTATTTCCTTCTTTTAAAATAAGCTTAAATACAAGCTAACAAGGGACTAGTAGTTGGCATAATGGCTATGTCACTGAACTCCCATGTAGCCGACCGTGGTTCGAGTGTCAGACCCGGTGGCTTAAACTCACGCCAGGCGCGTGTGCGTGTGTTCCCAAGATCCCGAGAGGAGAATGGAGGAGAAGGGATTGCGGCATGGCCATTCCTCTGGGGGGCAATTTCTTGCTTTCTATCTCTCTGTCTCTCTCTCTGTCTTTCTGACCAGCGCATGCACCCTATAGCAAAAACTTCTCCAAAAAAATAAAAGGCTAACAAGAGATGCATAGACTTTTTTTTTCTTTAATGTTTGTAAAAATTATTGCAGATAATGTCATGACATGGAAATATGCTTATATGTTGTAAATTGGGGGGAAAAATCAAAGGGTAGTGTTTTATTTTTTAAAAATAAAATACACACATACATATGAGAAAAAAGAGAGGAAAGGGAAGAGAGAAAAAGATATATAAGCAGAAAAATACACAGCATGTATATACAGCATGTTAATAGCTGTTCTCCCATAGTTCTTAAATTATGAGAGGTTTTTTTTCTGGTTTCTTTAGTAGCAAAATTTATGCAATGATTGTGTTATTTTTGTTATAAAAAAAAAAAAAGATTGTGATAATTTTTTGAGTCTTTCCTAAAAACAAGATGGCAGGCTCAGAGGTGTTTTCCAGAGTTTAAATTTGATCATCTAAGTGGCTTAGTTTTATTTGGAACAGTGGCTTTGCCAACTGGATCTGTAAATGGGGAAGAAAAGATTATTTTTGCACCATCAACTTCTATCTCCGTGCGGCATTCCAAATATGACAGATAAGGTAAATGAGAAATGGAAATCCTTGCTAAAAATTACATTTTGAGCATTTTGGTTGAAAGTGTTTTGTGCCTTTTTCTCCCAAAGAACAAAAAAAAAAAAAAAAAAAAAAAAAAAAAAAACCTCATAATATCCTCAACAACTGAACCATTCTGGAAAAGGGAAGGCCAGGAAAATCCAATCCAGAATCGGAGGTTTCCTGACCCCATTGTAGGAGAAATAGGGTAGAGAAAATTCAAAGACAGGAGAATAACAACATTAGCAAATGTCCCAGTGTCCAAAAGTAGACAAACCACCTCTCTCAGTCCTGCTTTGGGGAAAACGCTCTGGAGAAATCCATCTGTCCCAGTTAGTCAGTTGGCTCCCAGTCAGAACGTTTCCAAACTTAGCCCGGAGTTGTGACATCACTTTTCTTTTCTTTTCTTTTCTTTTTTTACCCTTAACAAACTCTTTCTAGGAAATCTGGGGAAATAATTTTCACTGGTTTTCAGGGCAAAGTGTAAAAGCTTGAAATGCTTAGTCCGAAGAATGTTAAAGGTTACAAGTTGCAGTAACACCCTAACCTCTTTTACCGGCTATCACCTAAAAAACAGCAAGGCTTTCGTTCCAGCACTTGTCTTTGCGGTTTAGCTGCCAGTCATCCTTCTGCACACTGCGGGAACTTTTTTTTTTTTTAATGCGGCTCCGGCAATACTCGACG